CTTATAGAAAAGTCTAACATTAGCAAAAATAGTCATTGTTTAGATAATTATAAGGCATATAAAAGAGATCTAATAGTTGGTCAACACCTTATATAGGAACATGTTAAGTAATTTACAGACATGTTTGCCGTTTGTTTATGCAGCAAAAATCTGTGATTCAGTTATTGAAGCTGGTTGTCATCATTTTCTGGGTGGAAGGATCTCGGACTGAAGAGTTGTTTTCTGATCGAGACTTGCTTGATAAAGCCACTGACCACAGGAACATAAATAGACCTGAACAGACAAAAGATCCAGTAAATAATTCAGGTGAATCAACGACTATCAATGGATACCAATATTTAGTGTCGCATATACTGACTGACCTTGTAGAGAGTTAAAGATGGTGAACAAGTAGATTCCAGCTAAAGTAACATAGGTGAAGCTGGCTAGTCCCCATGGTAACCCCAGTACACAGCTGAGGCCGAGAACTGTGGCACCGTCCTTCCATAACCTGGACTCGTTCTCCTTGCTCATCTTCTTCCAGTCGCTGGACTCACGGTCTCCTCTGCCACGTCGTAACTCCCGCATTTTAAACACCACCAGCAACAGCATGCAGGAATTATACAGCACCACCAGGCAAAGAAAAGCCACAGTGATGTACATGACCAACTTTGTCTGTGGGTTGCCACTGTTCATCCAGCATCTGTTCATCAAGAAGTAACAAAACAGAGACTGTGGTCGTTAAGGAGTTTCATTGACTGACTCTTTTGCACATGTGAACTCATGGAAATGTCTTACATTTCTGATGTTTGGTTGTTGGAATCCCTCGTTTCCAGAGTGTATCTGCCATAGACACCTAAAGGCCCACAAATTACCACAACAAGGGTAGGAAAGCCTGAGGAGAAAGCAAGAGGAGGGACAAACAGCTGCCATTAGAATCAAGGTCAAAAACAATAACTAGTCTAGCCACTGTTTGTTAATTAAATCAGTTAATTGATGGGAGCAATTAACTTCATGCTCCCAACCAAAGTTCCAAACTCACCCCATCCCACCAGGCAGAGTTTGAGCAGGTATCGTCTGACGTAGATGTTAAAGACTCGGATGAGGAGAAGGTAAAGGTGGAATCCTTCCAGGGCCAGCCAGGTGATGGTGGCCAGCAGAGACCAGTGCAGGAAGAGACCCAGACCTCCACAAACCCAGCTGTACTTGTTCTCATCTAGCAGAAGGATCCAGAAACTGCTGCTCAGGAAGCCGAGGTGGAGGCACAACAACGCCCCCGTTAGCTGCATGTGGATGTTGAGGGCCTTCTCCGAACGTCGTCGACTAAGGGAGACACGACAGAAATGCATTGTTTGGTTTTTTCTTATAAAGGATATTTTTGGCTCTACTGGCCTTTATTTGCTAGTGACTAGACAGAAAAGTGAGTTGTGATAAAGGGATAAGACCTGCAACCTGTGATGGCTGTGTAGAGGACTGAGGCCTCCATACATGGAGGCTTTATCTGTGTTGTTAGTTTTATAATGCAGATGCAAAGAGTATTTGCTGACTCTGACATTTCCTGCATGACTACTGTTCACGTTGATGTCTTGCTGTGCAATGCAACAAAACAAATGATTGGAGTTGGTTAATCACTCATGATTCAGAGAGTAAACCTTTAAAGTTTTATCTAGAACGTCCTTTGAAGTCCCAGGAAGAGTTCTCTGAACCAAACACCACAGTAACCTGTGACAGTTGACTGGGTCAGAACTGATTACTTATTTTGTATTCCACAGTTTTTGACCCAAAGATGTAGTGAATCTTCTTGTGAGTCTCATGGACTCTCACAATTTCTCTGAACTCCTGCCATATTTCTGTTGGCACNAAAAAAAGACTTATCACAGAGAGAGAAAAGAGAGAATATAAAAAAAGACAAGATCATGGTATGTTTGCATGTGTCTTGGTAACGTCATGTTTATCGAAAAAGATTTATGGAGATGTTAATAGAAAATTAGCTTGATAGCGACCTGGAACGGTCCAATTCAACATTTATGTTAGCATTTGAGGAGTTTGTTTTGTTCCAGCAGTAGATGGGTGCTTCTGTGGTGATTTAAAAGAATAGTCCAAGAGTTCTTTATTAATTTTCTTTTGAAAGATTATTAGTTATTTAGATGTTTCTCTTGGGGCCTTTAGTTAGTGCAAGTCCGTATGGATTGGACCTGGAGGCTGAAGCTAACAGCTAATGCAACAGGTGCCAAGACTAAAGTTTTAACTTTAAATTAGTTGATTTTCGATGTGTCCCTATATATTTCAGAGGTTTTTGGCTTCAAAACAGCGTGTTTGATAACAAACCTCTCAATGTTTGACAATGTCTAGCAAAACGTACCATGTTAAGAAGACTCAGCTGATCCAGAGTTGTGTAAAGCTGGGAGCCGGGGATCTGTGGAGGGGTCTGGTGGAGGCTGCTGGATGGTAACATTGTTAGAGGGGGGACAGGTTACGCAGCACAGACTTGTAGGAAGAGGAACAAGACGTCGCCAGTCATGAGATTTGAACCAGAGAACTTCAGAGTCTTTAGAAGACGAGGAGAAACAAACTCAGCACAGGGAGCAGAATCAAGTAGTGATGTGTCTTCTGTGCTGAGGTTTCAGAGCGTGAGTCGAGTAATCCAGGAGGATTTTTATGAAGCGTATTGAGGCATGTGTTGAAGGAGCAGCTTGTGACGTTTAAAACCACTCCACCATTCAGAACTGGTTTGTCAGTTTGCTTGCGGATCAAAATGAAAGGCAAGACGCTGCTGTTTCACACGTCACAGTTTCTTGTTTTAGATTTTATTGCTTGTGCAATTCATTGGAGCATCTTTTTTCTGATGGACCCAAGTTTCCCAGGTCTGGCAACATTTTAATCTTGCCAAATAGTTTCCCACAGCATTATTAAACCATCACCAATAATGTCAAAAAACCAAGACAGAGGATCCTGCGTAATAATTTCTAATGTTTTAAAAGGATAAGCGTCGTGTCCAAATTAACTTTAATGATAAAAAACCTCACCTGTGCTGAGGGTTTATTGAGCTCTGCAGAAAGGCACTAACCAGGTTGGTCAAGCTCAGCCAAGTCAATTTAGGATTCAAAGGTCAGACAGAATACATCCACTGGAATATTTGGAAAGTGACAAAATGTTTTATCCCAACTTCCACAAACCAGCTGATGCATTTCTTGCTTCATCTTTGCTCTGTGAGCATGGGTATTTTCCGTAGCAGATGGAATCATCTGAAAACAGAGAAATCACATAGATTCAAGCAAAATTAAACTTTTTATTCTTTAGTAAATGATGTAATTTTGTCCCTTGTGACATAGCTTGGTTAGAGTAACAAGTCAATCACAACTCTCTCTCCCCCCCATTTGTTTTCTGATTTCTTTTTTCATCCAGCCATTGTTTCAGATGAACAGATTAAGACTATTATCAGAATATTCTATTATATTCAGAATAATGATTCTGATCATTATGTTTATGATCAGAATCATAAACATAATTTACTTATTTATTGTAAGGCTTCAAGTTGTTTTCACTTTGCCTATGTTACATATATTTTCCACTTGATGTCGCAGCAGATCAAATAAAGCACCGTGGTGCACCAGCTCATGAGTCAAACTATTGGATGTAATGCCTCAGTGCTTCAGGAAGCTTCATCTCACCATCACTAGAATCCAGATTGCTGCAGAAAACGCCTTTAAAGGAGATCATAGATTAAGCCACAAAAAAATTCAAAAAGCTCAGAGTAGAGATGGAACATCTGAATCCAGACTTCGAGGCGTGTACCGGGTAAAAAGGGGGCGTGTCAGATGAAGCCCCGCTTCGATGCTTGTGCCGTCTTGCTGAAAACCGACGCCTCGCATCACCCGGGACACGACTGCTTTATTTTGCGTGTCGGTTTTCAAAATAATAGCGTGATGAGCCATGCTGCTTCATGGGTTGTTGTAGGTCATTTGGTCGTGAATCAGAGGGGAATATTTGTCTTCAGTGGCCAAAATAAAAGGAACATTGACCAACATATTTGAAGTGTATTGATGATTTTGATGATGGCACTCATCAAAATGTACTGTTTGTTACTGGTTTTCTCAATTGTCAATTATTGTGTTTTTATATGACTTTATATTTTTGTGATTTTATAATGTAAAACTCTTTGAACTGCATTGTTGCTGAAATGTGATACACAAATAAGCTAGACTGATTGACTGAAATGGAGCCAGCACGAGGAAAATCTCTGACATCTGGGAATACTTTGAGATGATCGCTCACAATAAAATTCTTCTTAAGTAAAATTAATTAACCCCTCCGTGTCCCAATTTCTCACCTTCTGAAAATTTCCACTATTATTTGTAGTCTGATTAGCAAAGATATATCAGTCTTGCACAGCAGAAACAGATTTAATGCTGTTGCAAGACTAAAAGTCTGTATTTAGCTAAATATAAGGGATCAGAGCCAATTAGAAATCCAAGCAAATGCCCCAACAAGCACTCCTCTCCCAACACACTAAAACATCAAATGTCTTTATTGTCATATCAGTATCTGGCATAAAAGAAAACCCAACACAACCACTGACGTTCAACCAGGACTAGATTGGCTACAAATCATTTTAATAATTAAAACATGACAATTAAATATGATTTAATTGATTCTCCTGTTACTAAACTTAAGTTTGATAAAAACTTTGTGACAATATTGCATTTACTAATTATTGGAAGTATGATCCAATGGAGTGACAAGGCTGTTACAGTTTCACCAGCAGATGTCATTAGTGAGTGATGAATGTAGCAATGAGTAATGAACCTTTTTGCAAACCAAAGTGTTGAAAGCTTCACTGCTTCATGAATCTTCATTTGCCCATCACTAGCTCAGGGAACATAAAAAGACCAATAACTGGAAGGCCCAGAGTAAAGCTAAGACTCAGGCATCAGAGGACTGGCAATTGGCTCCTTATCAGCTCTGGTTGAGCTGAGAATTTGCAGGTACATGTAATTAGCTTAGCAGGTTCCCCGTTAAACAGCAACTCCTGGCTCCCTCTTGTGGATGGTTGTGTGAACTAAATGAACAGCCACACAGAAGCCAAACCACAGCTGTCTAACAATTTGGTTGGGCTTTTCAGGTAAACTGAAAAACTTTGGATGAACATAGACGTTGACATAATTTTTATTTCATGATATATTTTATAAACATAAAATCTAAACAATAAATACATGCAAAGAACATAAAATTTCTGGAGCACAGTCTTTTTAAAGACATCTTATAGAAAAGTATAACATTAGCAAAAAGACTCATTGTTTGTAAAATTATAAAGCATATAAAATAAGACCAATAGATAGTCAACACCTAATTTAGGCGCTGTTTGTTTATGCAGCAAAAATCTGTGATTCAGTTATTGAAGCTGGTTGTCATCATTTTCTGGGTGGAAGGATCTCGGACTGAAGAGTTGTTTTCTGATCGAGACTTGCTTGATAAAGCCACTGACCACAGGAACATAAATAGACCTGAACAGACAAAAGATCCAGTAAATAATTCAGGTGAATCAACGACTATCAATGGATACCAATATTTAGTGTCGCATATACTGACTGACCTTGTAGAGAGTTAAAGATGGTGAACAAGTAGATTCCAGCTAAAGTAACATAGGTGAGGCTGGCTAGTCCCCATGGTAACCCCAGTACACAGCTGAGGCCGAGAACTGTGGCACCGTCCTTCCATAACCTGGACTCGTTCTCCTTGCTCATCTTCTTCCAGTCGCTGGACTCACGGTCTCCTCTGCCACGTCGTAACTCCCGCATTTTAAACACCACCAGCAACAGCATGCAGAAATTATACAGCACCACCAGGCAAAGAAAAGCCACAGTGATGTACATGACCAACTTTGTCTGTGGGTTGCCACTGTTCATCCAGCATCTGTTCATCAAGAAGTAACAAAACAGAGACTGTGGTCGTTTAGGAGTTTCATTGACTGACTCTTTTGCACATGTGAACTCATGGAAATGTCTTACATTTCTGATGTTTGGTTGTTGGAATCCCTCGTTTCCAGAGTGTATCTGCCATAGACACCTAAAGGCCCACAAATTACCACAACAAGGGTAGGAAAGCCTGAGGAGAAAGCAAGAGGAAGGACAAACAGCTGCCATTAGAATCAAGGTCAAAAACAAAAAAATAATCTAGTCACTGTTTAAAGGTTAATCCAAACAGTGACTATACAAATTTGCTAATTGTTTGGAGCAATTAGCTTCATGCTCCCAACCAAAGTTCCAAACTCACCCCATCCCACCAGGCAGAGTTTGAGCAGGTATCGTCTGACGTAGATGTTAAAGACTCGGATGAGGAGAAGGTAAAGGTGGAATCCTTCCAGGGCCAGCCAGGTGATGGTGGCCAGCAGAGACCAGTGCAGGAAGAGACCCAGACCTCCACAAACCCAGCTGTACTTGTTCTCATCTAGCAGAAGGATCCAGAAACTGCTGCTCAGGAAGCCGAGGTGGAGGCACAACAACGCCCCCGTTAGCTGCATGTGGATGTTGAGGCCCTTCTCTGAACGTTGTCGACTAAGGGAGACATGACAGAAATGCATTGTTTGTTTTTTTCTTATAAAGGATATTTTTGGGTCTAGTTGCCTTTGTTTGCTAATGACTAGACAGAAAAGTGGGTTGTGATGAAGGGGTAAGACCTGCAACCTGTGATGGCTGTGTAGAGGACTGAGGACTCCATACATGGAGGATTTATCTGTGCACCCAGAAATGTGTTAGCAAATATTCTTTGCATATGCATTATAAAACTGACTCTGACATTTCCTGCATGACTACTGTTCACCTTGATGTCTTGCTGTGCAAAGCAAAAAACAAATGATTGGAGTTGGTTAATCACTCATGATTCTGAGAGTAAACCTTTAAAGGTTTATTTAGAACGTCCTTTGAAGTCCCAGGAAGAGTTCTCTGAACCAAACACCACAGTAACCTGTGACAGTTGACTGGGTCAGAACTGATTACTTATTTTGTATTCCACAGGTTTTGACCCAAAGATGTAGTGAATCTTCTTGTAAGTCTCCAGGACTCCCACAATTTTTCCTGAACTTCTGCCATATTTCTGTTGGCACCTCAAACTAAACAAAAAATAAGACCAGAGTCATTTGAGGAGCTTTTGTTTTGTTCCAGCAGTAGGCGGGTGCTTCTGTGGTGATTTAATAGTTCTAGAGTTCTTTAGTAATTTTCTTTTGAAAGATTTTTAGTTTATCTACAGTAGATTTTTCTCTTTGTGCCTTTAGTTAGTCTATGTCCTTATTGATTGGACCTGGAGGCTGAAGCTAACAGCTAATTCAACAAGTGCCAAGACTAAAGCAATCTCCAAAAATCAAGCTTGTGTGAATGTTACTTTGACTTTTTAAACTGGTGTGATGTTGACATTTGGTGCTCAGTTCCAAATAAGGCGATTATTATTTACCAAGGAGATTGTGAAAGGAGATTGTGTGACTCATCTTCCTGTGAGAAATAGGTTTTGAGAACAGAGTGTAAAGTATTTTGGTGGTGTGAGAATGACCCACTGACAGTTAGGTCTAAAATTATTAGACAGTTTAAAGTAAAGCATATTTTCTAGATGTTTACACTGCCTAACTCTATCAGTCAAAACCTGTAAATGTGTCACTTTAGGTCTTCTGTTTCTTTCTTCAAGTGTGAGATTCCTTTTATGATTCAAAGACTCCATAAAAATATGAGAAAAACCCAATCTCATGATTGTGTGTGACAAACTTCTAATACAAGAATAACTCTGCCTCTACACAACAGATGTCGCAATGGGTGTTAAAATCTTTGGTTAGTGTTTGTTTATTTAAGCTGAAAGAACATATAAGACACATGCGGTTTCTCATCCATCGCTGCTAATCGATTTCACTTGCTGACTTTGATCTGAACAGCATAAAATTGTATAAAGATCACATATCTGATCAAAGGTATGTGCTTTTTACAACATCCATTTTATTTGTTTTCTCCCACTTTTATTTGGTGGCAGAGAACAGCAGAAGCTCTTTTCAGCAGAATCTTTTTTCTGATGTTGGAAGATGTAGAACTGTTTATAATTTATTTCCCCCTAAAAACTTTAGCGATAAAGAAGAAGCAGGTTTTCTTAGATTTTTCTGCCATTGATAGGTAATACTAAAAGTTCATTTGACCAGAGCGTCATCCTCCATGTGTTTGTTACGTCTCTGAAATGGTTTGTAGCAAATTCCAAACATACCATTTCACAGGTTTTCTTTAAACCATGTTTTTTTTCTCCCAAGTTCTCCATAATAGCCATATTTGTGAAATACTTGGTTAAATGCCCCCGCATTCTCAGGTGCATTTCACTCTGTGGAGGTCCATACTTACGTCAGGCGGACACAATACAGACATCCACCAGACCCATCTCTGCAAAGGAAAATTTGCAACCACATACGTATGCTCTGTGTCACAGAGTAAACTGCTTAGTGGGAAACAGTGTTCACATGGAACTGTTTTGTATAACATGATGTTGAGAGTCGCAAGGACGCACAACAGCTAGGCTGCCACTCTGTGCCATACTAACAAATGGTGGCTGCTCTGGTGGAGGAGATACGAGGTTAGGCACCTAACTAGCTCATCAAAACCTGCTACTGAAGGATGTCTGTCAATCTGAATGCTAGTATCCATTCAGATTGTGGGAAATAAAGGCATGCAGATCACACTAAAAATAGATTAGACAACCATTTTCTCCTGCTCTACAATAATCCCATTGGATTTGTGTCTGTAGCTGAATAGTCAGTACTTGTATAGCGCTTTATCAGGTCTGAAGGGCTTCATGCTACAATCAGTCAATAACCCATTCATACATACATTCACACACTGATAGTAGTGAGCTGCCCTGGTACAGAATAATGTTCAGTTGGCAAAACAAGAGACTGAATGACCAACACCAGCAGAACAGCAGGTTATGTGTCTTGTCCAGGGACACAATTAAAGTGAGACAACATGCTTTTCTACCAGTACAAAGATGGCCTTCAGCATCTTCATAACTAATTTGGTGGTGTGCTCAGGGTCACTGTCCATTTAAAAAAAACCATTTGTGCCAAATCTTTAAGTTGCGAGATGTTTCAATATTCCCTCTGAATGCTTTTTTTTTTTTTTGAGTAATGGCTTCTTTTTTGTAGTGTGGCCTTACAGCTTTTTTCAGCACAGGATATGTGTCTCTGGGTAAAAACGCTATCATCTTCAACCAGTCTCTGGACCTTGTTTGTTTTGGTTTTGTGGTTGATTTGAACACTCGCATCACATCCTGTCCTGTCCTGTCCAGGTCACAGGACTAATAACAGAGCACTATGATGGCTGAGGGCTTTCATGACATTTATGTTTGTGTATACATGGTTTTGGTATGTGACACTTCTACCCATGAAAACCATTGGTAGAGGTTCACAATTATCAGAATCAGCCTTATTTGCCCTGTTTGTGCAACACACATAATTTAACTTCAGTACCACATTACTCCCAATTTAGACATTTTAAATATTAAATATAAGAGGGGTAATAAAGTTTTTCATTGTAAATAAATATTAAGCAGGGGTTTTGTTATTGGAATATTCTGCATTCTTGTTCTTTTCAATGTTAACAGAAAACCCGAAGGCCATCTGTCATTTTGCCAGATCAGAATTTACTCACTTGACCACTTGGTGCAGCAAATGCATAAACATTTTCAACTTTACGTACAGAGCACATTGTGTAGGCAACTAAACGAATCAATACTAATAGAAAAATAATCTGAGTATCTTCTCTGACCTGGACACTTAACTAAATGCATTTTGCTGTCCAGTAGCTGACATTTGAAGAGTTGTGGACAAGACTCTTTGTCTGGTGCAGGACCTTCTGCTAAAATCTCTGAACAAAAACTTCTTGTTCAGAGAGTCTTTTTGTCTTCCGATGTCTTTAGTTAGAGAAATATTATCCCATTTGAAAACTTTGGCTAAAGTGGTGCTTGTAATTCCGGTCTTCAGGGTGGAAGCAGAGCAGGGCTTCAGCTTCCAGATTTCCAGATCAACATAAAAATATTTATAAGTTTGATTATGCATAAGCAGGTACGCAATTCAAGTTGGTGTGCATTCAGGCCACAGTAGGGGAATCATTCATATTTTAATTGTTTAATTTTAATGTTCATATGTAGTTACTGGGGCCATAGCTAGTCGTCACTATGGAAAAGCAGCTACATGTATTCAGCTGCTTGATTTGGATTCTCTGTTCAGTTTGTGAATAAAGAACTCAATGAAAATTAAATGCCATTGAATATTTAATTATTATCAATTTAAAAGTTAATGAATAAAGACAGATTATGACGAGATTTATTTTTTTAATTCTGTCAAGTCAAAAAAATTGGACAGCCTTACAATACAAACTATGTCAATCCCATTAATAAAAAAGGTTCAAGTTAAAGTAAAAACTTACTGCAGACCAACGTAGATGAAAAGGCTGATGAAAGCAAAGAAGACAGAGAGCGCTGATCCAATGTAGGTGATGTAGCTGAGAGCCTCAGCATGATCCTCATCCACCTTCACTTCTGGATTCTATACAGGGAAAAAATAAAATTTAGCTTAAGTGCATTTCATACCAATTCTGAGGAGACATTTTGTTTGCTGTTTCTGGTGTTCACCTCTGATATGCTAAGCTATTTACAGTTAAATCTGATCATTGTGTTTAATCGGTGCAGGAACTGCAGCAAATGTGGGGCAGAATGTAAATGCAAGGGGATTTTTCCAGATATGTATTTGATGAAGATTTGAAAACCATCTAAGATACTGCTGTCAATTTACAATTGTGCACTAGTTTATGTTTTGGCCTGTTGTGAAAGAATCCCCCCAAAATATTTAAGTTTTAGGTTAAGATGACAAAATGTTAATAGTTTTAGAAGACACTACATGGACTAGATTACGTGACAGAAAAACAGGATTTACCACAAGCACAGCAAAAAAGCTCAGATGGTTGCAGCTGCAGATAAATTTATCTTCTGATTTTTTGGTATAACAGCCTTCAGTGCTCCACTCTAATGAAAGCAGAAAAACAAACATGTAAATCCTGACTTGATGCTTTCATTTAAGAGTAGAGAAGTTGTTTGCATCCATATTGCACCTGTTTCATCCTCCTTCCAAAACACACATTTTCCACTGATCTCCTGAAACATAGAAAGGGATTCAAAATGAAGGAAAATTCTTGTATTTTAAATGTTTGTTATTGTATTTATTTAGTTACCTTCTCCTTGTGGTAGAAGATTAACTGGACCGGCTCAGTGAGATCGCTGACTGGCTGGCTTCCAACTTTCACAAACAGAACCAGTTCTCCTAAAACAGTTTCCTTTACTCTGACAGTTGGCTGGGGAATTATGCTTCTTCCTCTTGTCCGAGGAGTTCGCTGCAACAAGGAGACAGAATTGACCTCTCTTTTAAAACTAGTATTCCTCTAGAAACAGCCTTTACTGTCTCTGTTGTGTACTATAAAAAATTCACAATGGAAATTAATGCAAATGAGCCTGAAGGAAAGAACCACCTGGACTTCCAGCTTACTCTAGCGCAGGGGTCCCCAAAATATGGCCTGTGGGCTGGATCTGGCCTGCCTCCTCATTTGGTCTGGCCCCCCGAACAATACCATTCAGTGTTTTTTTTTCAGATATATGTGGATTTTTCTTCAACCACCAGAGGGGCTCTTGAGCAGATATGAAACTTAGTTTCCCTCAATGGAATATATACTAGTCAGTACCAGTCACCGTTTCGCTCACGGTTTTTTTCCATTTGCATTCTGGGTAAAAACCTATCTACAAACGCGAATATGTCATCGGCAGTAATCCAATTCCGCCCCCCCGTCAACAAAAAACTTTTCTAAGGTTTCTTTCTCGAAAAACTAAGACCGGCCCCAGATCAGAAAAGGGAACAGTCATGTGGCCCTTGCAGGAAAAAGTTTGGGGACCCCTGCTCTAGCGTGTCATTCACAATGACACGCTAGAGTTAGCTGGAAGTCCAGCAAAATGTGTAAAGAACATTACACTTGCTTGTTCAGAGAATCACACCTGAAAGAATGTGCTGTTGATCACCGAGGAAACCACCTGGATGGTTTCCTCTGACTGTGTTCTGATTCTCTGAAGAGCTGATGATGGGATTCGAACCTCGTGATTGGATGTGGGACTCACGTCAGCCTTAAAACCAGAAGGAATTTATTCAGTTAAAACCAGTTATGTTTCACAACATGTCCTGTAAATGTAATCTAATGATTTACTATGTCCCAGTTCAATTAAACTTTGAAAACAGTTTATAAACATAAACACATTAATCCTGTAATTGTCAAAACATGAATTTAGTTTATTAATTCAATTCAACAAGAGCAACTTGTATTTTGAAGAGTCAAAACGGTTATACAGTTGAAACCAAATGACTTACACCGAATAAAAAGATACACATTTTTGTCTGTGAACTCTGTCCAAAGTTAACATTCTTGTCTTAGATCTTCTCTTTTTTTAGGTCAGTCTGAAGTCTGAGGACAGATTGATTACTGTCCCTTTAAATAATGAGCGAAAACCAAGACGATGATGTCATGGCTAACCTCTGATAGGTTAACTGACACATTTGAGTTAATTGGGCTGCTTACTTTTAACACAACAGGAAAGTCAAAGGAAATCACCCAAGATTTCATGAAGAGAAGTGTGAAGCTGCACAAGTCTGGTTCATCAATTTCCAGATAGTTGAAGACGCTGCATTCACCTGATTAAACAATTATGAGCAAAAATAGTAATGATGGGAATGTCCAACCATTGTCACACTCAGGAAGGAGATTGGTTCTGGGTTCCTGAGATGGCCATGTTTTGTCCAAAATCTGAAGCTTAAATCCAGAACAAAAGTCCAAGACCTTGTGAAGATTCTGGCTGAAGCTGATAAGACAGACTACATGAGCTGAATGGCCACTTAACAAAGAGGAAGCCATTACCCCAAAAGAAACACAAAAGGGCAGATTGTGGGTTGCAAATTCTCACAAGAACAAATTACTTAATTTTTAGAGACGTGTCTTGTAGTCTGATGAAACTAAGGTGGAACTGTTTGGCTGTAATGACCACCGTTACATTTGGAAGGAAAAGGTGAACATAACATATTGTGGTGCTGCTGTGCTGCAGGAGGAACTGGTTCACTTCATAAAATATGAAGATTAAAGAGGATTATGTGGAAATACTGAAGAAACATTGAAAGATATCAACCATGACGTTAAAGGTGACCACAGATTGGTTTTCCAAATGGACAGTAACCCTCAGCATTCAGCCAAAGTGTTTAGAAAGTGACTTCAGGACAACAGGGTCAGTGTTTTGGCTTGGCCATGAAAAAGCCCTGATGTCAATCATTGAGAGAATTTGTAGGTAGATCTGAAGAGGTGTGTGCTACCACGGCGACTGGACTCCGTTCCAGCATCTCTATCTGGAATGGACCAGAACTCCAGGAAGCTACAGTGAGAAGCTTGGAAACCCAAAACTGTTGACCCAAGTCATACAGCTTAAAGGCAATGTTAAATACTGAGGAAATTAATGAATAAGTTTTTTTATTTTGAAGAAGTTAAAAAATAATTCCCTGACATAATTCTCACTATGGGGGTTTTTAGGAAATGGAAATAATTCCATCCATCCATCCATCCATCCATCCATCCATCCATCCATCCATCCATCCATCCATTCATTTTCTTCCGCTTATCCGGGGTCGGGTCACGGGGGCAACAGCTTCAGAAGGGAGGCCCAGACTTCCCTCTCCCCAGCCACTTCTTCCAGCTCCTCCGGGGGAATCCCAAGGCATTCCCAGGCCAGCCGAGAGACATAGTCCCTCCAGCGTGTCCTGGGTCTTCCTCAGGGTCTCCTCCCAGTGGGATGTGCCCGGAACACCTCACTCGGGAGGCGTCTAGGAGGCATCCTTACCAGATGCCCGAGCCACCTCAACTGGCTCCTCTCGACGTGGAGGAGCAGCGGCTCTACTCTGAGTCCCTCCCGGATGACCGAGCTTCTCACCCTATTTCTAAGGGAGAGC